TAAAATTTACTTAAGTCCTTTACCACGAAACAAATCAGTTCCTCTCCCCTCTTCCCACAAGATAGTACTTAGGAGCCCAGCTGCTTGTGGATTTAGCTAAAATCCCTTCGGTTAATCTGCATCCCACAGTTGGTTCTAATGTCCATTGTTACTCCAAAAACAGTGGGGTCTCTCGGGGTGTCCGTAAAGACCTGAAACTTTAGCCAGACTGCCTGTATGAAAGCCACATAGGCTCACATAAGTTACCCAATGTTTTTGTGTCTCAGTTTCCTTATCTGTAAAATGAGGCTCATGAGAGTATCTATGGGTTTGTTAGTGGGAATTGACTGAATGTAAGCAAAACCATTAGAACGGTTGGCACATAAACTTTATACAAATACATATTACTGAGTTTTTTTTGATCATTGAACAAAACTTTGCACTCTCACTGTTTGAAGGTCCACTTTATATGCTTCAATTTTGTAACTTGAACAACTATTTCTAAGATGAGAATATGTAATCTATTAATTAGTGATTTCTTACTGTTTATTTTTTAAATTTTGTATTACTTGTACCCTTTTTCTGTTTTTTTATTTTTCTCCTTAGATAAAAAAAAAAAAACTTTATACAAATATAAGTCAAATAGAAGACATGTAGAGATTTGTCATTGGCTTTCTGGTCTACCCACTGTGATTTTTTTTTTTAACTACATCTTAAAGAGGAAATTGATCTTGTTATCTTTGTAGAGAAAGCACATTGGAGAAGTACTTTAACCTAGAACTTTAACCTAGAATCCTATTACCTTCCTAGCTCAGAGCTTGATTTTATAAATGGATACATGGAGACTATGGTGTGAAGCTAACAGAAGACTGAGCTCCACAAAGACTTTGGTAGCAATTACTGCAACTGAAATGTTTACACAAATCACAGTCACAAAATACTCACCTGAGAACAACCAAAAACAAAGACAGGACCTAGCACTGTGGCCAGAAGCCACCTGACTGTGACACTGAAGAGTTCAGAATGAGGAGCCCGGGACAGCAGCTACTCCAGTTAGTTATAGGGATACCTGTGTCCAAATCAGAAGGAAGGAAAGAAGGAAGGAAGGAAGGAAGGAAGGAAGGAAGGAAGGAAGGCAGGCAGGCAAGTTAGTCAATAGTTTTTGGCAAGTATCTAATTGGAGATTTTGTTTTCATAATGTTTTATTGATCATTTGAACTCTGAAAATGGAATGGGATACCCAGAACCCTTGGAGATATTGCAAAATGTATTTTCCACTGTTATTTTTTACTCAGGGGTCACTCATTGGTATCCAGGCCAGCCTCGGGCTAGAACAAGTTGACACTGATTTGAGAACAGTGGAACCCATTAAACCTTGGTCTAGAAAACCATTATAATCTCATCCCTATTTCGAGCTTCCCTGGTAGACTAACCTCCTCCTCTCATAGGAAATATTCAAAGAGAGATGCTGGGTTGGTTTCCATAATTTGCTTACCAACAATGGTGCCTGATAGGTGGAATGGACTTAACATTCAGTGGACAAAACCATAAGCAAAGTGTGAAGGCAAGCATTTGACTTCATACTGAGAATCGTGAATATTTCTAGTCTGCACTCGTGTCCAGCTGTCCTTATCCAGCTTCTTTGTCTCTTATGTGTACATGTGGCAAATAGACACACATGAAACTTAGCATCTCTCGAGTGTACGGTTCAGTGGTGTAAAGTGCCCTCTTGCTGTTACACATCTATCGCCAACCATCCCTTCCCACATTTATCATCTCCCCGAATGGAAAGTCTACACCCACAAAACACTAACCCTTCACTGTTCCTTCCTTCAAACTCTGGGAAATCACCAACCTTTTTACTGTCTCAATGATCTTGACCATTCTAGCTACCTTAGGTCAGTGGCTGACCATTCAGTATTCAATTCTTGGTGGCACATTGTTTTACTTAGACAATGTCTCTAAAGTTTATCCACGTTATGGCATGTGTCAGGATTTCTTTCCTTTTAAAGATGCCCTGAGTCTCTCCAGTGGGCACTGGCAGGAGGTCCCATGATGGGGGGCCTGTCACATGTCCAAGCAAGGCTCTCATGCTGCAGTGTTTTGGATTTTAATAATAAAATAACCATGAGGTGTTTTGAATGTGTAAACTGATTGCCAGCTGAATCATGACACTCTCCTGTGGGTCACTTACGTCTTGGAGTCAACATCTGGCTCTTTCTGAGAACAGATGCTGCTTCCAGGGAGACCGTAAGAGCCGGCTAGAGTGGGGCTGAGGGCTCACCATTGAGCCTGGAGGGAATTGAAAGATGGCTTGGTGTGCATGTTTGGAGAAGGGCTTCATGATTTTGCAGAGGTCCATTGTATTTAATTTTTTGTTTCATTTTTAGTAAACTAAATGGCTTTGTTCATCCCTAAGCTTTTGATACCTGTGCTGCCTGCACTTTAGAGCTGTGACCTTGAGGTCTGCATGCCTGCAGCTCACCTTCCTCTCCCCTTAGCTTCCTGACTCCCTGGTTCTGAAGCCCTGCTCACCTGTCCTCTCTGGGGAGCAGCTCTGGACCCCTGAAGAGGAGCTCTCAGGATCAGTGCATAGAACCCTCCCGGGTACTTGTGCAAGTCCTGCCCAGTCCTCACGCTCAGCATCATGTTCCCAGAGGCCAGTGAGAAAGAGCCATCTCCCCTGGGGCCTCCTGCACAGTGGGGTGCTCACCCCTGTGTGCTTGCTGACTGTGAGACTCTGCTCCCACAGGGCTCCCTGCCCCCGACCTCCTTACCGCTCTCCAGGGTCTGCGGTCTATCCTTCCCCTTTTCCCCCAGTGGCTTCGTACTCAGCCAAACCGGTCACTTCCTCTTTCATGCCTCTGAGCTTATTAAGATGGAAGGAACAGCCGGTGCCTTGCCACATGAGCGAGACAAAGGCAGAGACGAGGTTGCCAAATAATCTGATAATTTAAGTAGAAATGTTCAGAGTGCAGCGGTGTCAAAAACCTTCTGGAAATTTACCGGCCTTGCGCTCCAGCTGACCAAAAAGCTTATGTGTTTTTCCTTCAATGAAGAGGAACAAACAGCAGGAGCTGTGGCTTGTCTACCCAGCCCCACCCCACTTCTAAAAGTAAATCCGGAGTGGAAAAGAAACCCAGATCGCGCTCCTCTGGCTCACTTCTTCTGGGGGCTCCCCGGGTAGGCACGAGCCAGGAGTTAGCTGACTGCTTTGCTAGTCTGAAATTTTGCTTCAGGGCTGAGTCTAAGAAAGAGCAAACGGTGGTGCCTGTGGGGAGCAGCAAACCATTTTCTCCTCCTGCACGACCTCTCAGCTACTTAAATGACAATGAGAAATAGCTTATCCTGCATGGGCCTCAATTTCCTTGTTTGTAAAGATGTTAAAAAATAGAATGTCCTAGGGAGAGGGGTGGAAGTGTAGTTAGGGTAGCAGAGCACCTACTGAGCATGTGTGATGCTCCGGCTTCAATCTCCAGCCCCTCAAACCCCCCTCCCCCAAAAGGTACTTGATGCTTTCTCAGATTCCGTCTAATCAAACAAAATGCTGAGAGGAACATTTCTTTAGACAGCTTGTTTTAAGCACTTGCGGTACATTTTATATGAGCAAGTATCAGGCAGCAGTGAAAACTCAGTTTCCAAAATATTGAATGGTCTTTGGTCTGAATTCCTAAGTGGAAACACTACCTGCAGTGTAACTGTATTAAGAAGTAGGCTGTTTTGAGGTGGCTAGGTCACAGGGGCCCTGCTGCAATGGGTGGGATTCCACTCTGTAAAGAGGACTCCTTTAGACTCTTGGGCCTGGGAAGAGGCAAGGATGAGTCAAAGAGGAGACTTTACTAGGCACTGAATCTGCTAATGCTTTGACCTTGGACCTCCCAGATTCCAGAACTATGTACAACAAATTTCTCCTATTTATGTTACCCTATCTGAATTACTTTAGTTTAGCGGCCTGAACAGACTAAGACACATTGGAAAGTCTTTTTATTAGCTTCCTTGTGGGAAGCCCTACCATTATGTTTGCTCTGTGAGGAACAGTGGTGCAGTGGAGCTGTGCAGTTAGAACTTCTGCAGCCTTTGGTCACCATGAGGACAAGGTCTGCCTGATGGGGAAATATGCGTGGAGTAGATGGATCCAGGAGGTCGGGAAGGGCCCTGGTACACTACATTCAGCCACACCTAAGGCAGCATACCCTGTCTCTCACGTAATTACCCAAACCCCTCCTCCTCATGAGTTTTTTTACCCTAAGCCTTATGGAAGAGAAGTATCCTAAACGACTGCAGCTGCGATAGTAGTCATCAGGTGATTTTCTGTTATTATACAAAATACCCGAGGCTGGGTACTTTAGAAAGAAAACAGATTTATTTTGTTCTTGTTGGAAGCTAGAAGTCCAAACACCATCATCCTGGTCTTAAGGCAGGAAGGGGCCTTGGGGCAGATGGCATCTTGAGAGGAACAAGAGAGTGAACCATCACAGGGCAAGACAGGAGCCAGGGAGCTGGTCCTGCATTCAGGGGAGGGGGTTCAGGAGGGTGGATCACGAGCACTGCAGTCAACAGTGCACTGATCCATGGAGGAAATCCTAGCCCAATGTGCTGTTAAGAGGTGGGGCAGAAGAGGTGGGCTATTGGGGGTGGCACCCCGCAGGGTTTAGCTTCCCACTTCAACTCCCCCTGGCTCTTCCCTTGACTCTGCTTCCTGGCTGCATGGTGAGGAACTCTCTCTCCTCTGCTCGGACTCTCCTACCTGGCTGTTTCAGCCTTGGAGGCAGCTGACCGCGAACTGAAATCATGAGCCAAAATAAAGGATCTTTAAATTGTGGTGTCTGGTAATTTTGCCTCAGGGATGGAAAAGCTACTAATACAGTTTCCGACACATGGATCCTTAGGGGCTCACTCAAACCTGATCCAAACTATTGCATACAGTTCACGCAGACAGATTCCATGGGAAAAAATTATGTACACAGAAAAACACTGGACAAATAAACTCAAGTATTAATAACTGGGATCTTCAAGTGGTAGTGTTTAAAGGCAATTTTATTGTCTTTTACTTTTTTCTCTTTTATTTTGCAGATACTTTTCAATACGCTTCAAATTTCCCAGTATTGTTCATTACTGACCTAATTTTGTCATATTATTTTAACAACCACCTCCTAAGAAGATGTGGGGACCTGGCTTTGCATCAGCATCCTGCCTCCTCCTGCTTAACTGCCTGATTCCTGCTCGACATTCGATGCACTATTAAGGTATCTTGTGGGAGGTGTGATGGCTCAGGTTGCAAATTGTATAGCAGGGCAACACATTTTCTGCAGGGTCAGGCAGTCTGTCTTTGAGTTTTGCAGGCCTTCAAGTGGCAACCACTGGGCTCTGCTATTGTGGCACAAAAGTGGCTGCAGATAATTTGTAAAGGAGTGAGCGTAGCTTACATATTAATAACGTCATTCCCATTTTTGCTAATGACCACATGTCACCCAACAGTATTCTCCTTGTGATTATTTTTCAACCACTTATAAAAGGAAAAGCAATTCTCGCTCATGAACCACACAGGAGAAGTGTCAGGTCACAGTGGGCTTGCTGGTCACAGTTGACAGGACCTCATTTTTATAATTAATACAAGGGTTTCTGTCATTGGATTGGTTCCACTGCAGTCTGCATTGCCAAGACTTCCCGGGCTGAGTTTCCACTGGGACCATTCACTCTCCAGGGATGGTGTCTTAGTCACTTTCTCACTGCTGGACATAACGTCCCACACTTGGAATTTGAAGGTTTTGGCTCACTCGGTTTGGTCCACAGTCAGTTGGTTCAAGGCAGAAACAGCCCAGTGGAAAGGCACAGCAGAGGGTGATGGAGACAATGCACCCTCACAATCACACCCACAGTGACCCCTCTTCTGACCAGGCCCACCTCCCAGCATCACATTCAATTCTGACCTCATCCATAGATGAATCCATGATGAGAACAGCACTGCTGAGATCCAGTTTCGTTCCACAAGCTCTGCCTCAGAACACCCAAGCCTTCACGGGGGACATTCTAGACATCAGATGTGGCTTTCCAGCAAGCCCCATGGACTTGGAAATTGTCTGTGTGTCTGCTGGGTTTATGTTCTTCCTTTTTGTGCGATGCTTGTAGGAGCTTTCCTCCTTTTCTGGCTTTTATGTTAGGGTTAGCATTTCAGTTCCTCTTTGTTACAATTCTTGGAGTTGCCAAAGCCCTAGTTTCCCAGCTGAGCTTGAATATTTCTATTTTGGAAAACTTTAAAAGACTTTTTTATTAATAGCATCCAGATTGGCTCTTTAATCCACAATGACCCCAAAGTGAGAGAAGTCCATTTTTCTGCCAGCAATATTAAGTAAATAACCAGCCAAGGACAATACAAATTTTTAGAAAAAATATTCAATTTGGCGACCCTTTTGAAATTTCATTTTAAGAAGGAGAAAAGAATTTTCACACAATGCTCTTAGTCTTTTTAAAGACCCATCACACTCAATAGTCCAGGTTGTCCTCTTGCCTCAGCCTCCCACATGCTGAGATCGCAGGCATTGATCACCATGTCCTGCTTGCTGGCAGTCTTGAGTGTCCATTAATAATGTTCTCAGCTATGAGTAAATAAGCCTGAATTATGATGGGTAAAACAATATGAGGGTACAAGAGGTTCAGAGGCAGGATGGGGTTCGCTTCTCAGCCATTGTTAATTTTCCTTGTGATACCTGCTTAGTTACTTTTACTAGTCACTGAGAAACGAAAGCTGACACCCAAAGTTAGGGAAAAAATGGTTTACTTCTTACAGTTCTTGGAGGTTTCAGTCCACACTCAGTTGGCTCCAAGGCAGCATGGCGAGGCAGGGCAGCCATTCAGGGCCGCTGCAAACAGCAAAAGCTGAAATCAGCAAGAGAGAGAGACACCTCCTTCCCACCATTACATCATACCCTGGCTCCACCCCTGGGTGGGTGAAACACTCACATCACCAATCCAAACGCTAGACAATGAACCAATCACAAATGCTAGATTTGGTCGCGTCCATAATTGCATGAGGCTTGGGAGCCACTGACATAAACCATGACACCTGCTGAGGCTCTAAGTACTGCCTTCAAATTCAGAGGAGAGTGGAGAGAAAGAAGCAGCACCGAACACATCATCCTTTCCATCAGAGAAAGCAAGTCCCTTCCAGCAGGCACTGCTTAAGTAAGATGGCCTAGAATGGAGCCCTGTGACTAAATGGATGCTAGAGAAACTGGCTAAGAATGACGCAGCTTTTGCAACCTCTATTATGGGGCTGAAAATGCAATGGAAAAGGGAGTAAGGGACACCTGGTGGGTCAGCATAATGCTAGCTTAATACTGAATAAGATTCCTGATGTTAGACAAAACTGTTTCCCCTACTCTGGTGGAATGACGCACACTACATCTGTCTGGCTCATGGAGGTGTTCCAGCTCCTTGTACAGTGCAATCATGCAGTAAATAATGCAGAATAAATGAATGGGAGACTGCATGGGGCCATGAAAAGAGCTCTAAGGAGCTCAGTGTTGGAAATGACCAGGCTGCGGTGTGTGATCTTCCCTCCCTATATGCCAACAGAGTCCTGCACTCACATCACTGCTGCCTTCAATCATGGTTCAGAGCTGCACTGCATGAATGCACTTACTCAGCCCCCCAGGCATCTCAGCCCAGGCTTTGCCCTCCCGAATTCTACCTATTCACCAATGTCTTTGGTGGCACAGGTGAGGAGACGCACTGTGCCCCCACCTCCCCACTGCAGAGCAAAGCTGATTTAGTGTGGAAAGCGTGAGATATGTTAGGATAGAAAGTAACAGTGGGGCCCCTGCAATGTATTTTCAGCCCTTCCTGTGTTCCAGACACCCTGCTGAAGAGGTTACACAGCATTACTCATACTTAACTGATGAGGAGGAGAAAGTTCTCACAATTAAGTGTGTGAGTCTTTTAGAAGTGACACATTAGACAAAACAAAAGAAAAAGAAATGAAGTTAATGACTGAAAGCAAAAAAAACCTGTTGGACAGTTGGTCAACAGTGGCAGATTACATAAGCATATTCATCACTTCTTCCTTTTAAAAATGATCAGAGAAACTAAAAAAAGGCACAGAAAAATCAAAGTAAACAAAAAATTGCAATGCGGTTTTGGATACGGGAAGGTGAAGAAAATGGGGGTGACTGAGCAGAGGGGGCAGGTGTCCCCTCCGTGCGCCCTGGGTGGCGAAACCTAACCAGAATAGCTGATAGTAATTCAAATGTATTGGATGCTTATTATATTCACTTCTGAATGCTTCACAAGCAAATGGCTGTCTACCCTTCATGAAGCAGGCTAGGGTATGATTTTCATTTTACAGACAAAACTAAAGATGACACACGACACTTTGAAATGGACCCACCAGAGAACATGAAAGAATTCTTAGAAATTAAAGAGGTGATATCCAAACAAAGCACTCCCCATGTCTGGCCCATCCATGTAAAAGTTTAATCACTGTTAACTGTTGTTTGGGGCCATTTATTTATTCTCTGGTCCCACTTTCATGTTTTATTACTATTTTGTGATTGAACCTAGGTCCGAGCCAGAGCATCCTTTATTTCACGAGCTCTTCTTGGACAAAATGAAGCTCTTAGAATCCTGGATTATCCTAGCACCTCAGTCTAGATCCTTCTATTGAAAGGAAAGGACACTGAGGTGAACAGAGTCCAATCAGTTTGGTCACACATCTACTCAGTAGGTACAACCAAGAATAGAACCTTGATCCTCCAGTTAATGTACTTCCATTTCTTTTTCTTGGCCCATCCCTCTAGCAGACATGTGACCTGAGTCCATGGCCCCCCTTCTTTCTGAGAACACCCCGTCTTCCTAAGGAGAGGCCAGTCATGGGAACCCTCAGAGCTTTCATTTCTTCCAGTCTAGCAGGGGCCAATTAGCCATACACATGCCTGCTTTGGAGCTGGAATATGATCATTAGAAGGGAGATGTTACTTTCTGCTAGAGTTCCTCTTTAGGGAAGCCTTTTCACCAAGAAGGTGCCAGCCATCTTACTGTGTCAGCTGTGACACCAGCGGGCCCATGCAATGGAAGCAGAGGCAGAAAACCCCAATAACACTGCTGCCTCTGATAAGGGAAGTCCCTAGATGACAGATGTACAGCAGGCTGATAGAACACTCAGTCCGGATTGGGACAGGAAGCCTGAGGTTTCCGGAAAGGAAGGCTCCAGAGAGAAAAATGAAATTGATCATTTATGAACACATTTGAACTGTTTGAAAAAAATATCCTTGGAACCTGGTACAGCTGATGGAGCACTTGGAAAAACATTTAATACGGGAACATAGAAAGCCCAGCCAGGGAACAAAATGAGACAGTGAAGTCTAGGAAGAACAAACAGTTGTACAAGAAAGGAAACATTACATGACCTTTCTCCGCTCAGGGGTGAGCAACAGTGATGCGGTCCTAGTAAGGTTAAAGGAATCGGGGCAAATTGGTGGCATCGGCTGAGATAAAAGCTCAGGAGCGGAAGGGTAACAGAACAGCCTCATCTATTGTAACAGGAAGTGGAGAGATAATGTCTAAAATGATAACAAGTAGAAAGGCCCTATTATCTAGAAATAGGAAATATCACAAGAACTCGGTTTAAAAAGTTGAAATTTTAGAGCAGACAACTCAGAAGATTCGTTATTACATGCTTTTAAAAAATTATGTGATTTAGCCAGGGGTGGTGGCTCACGCCTGTAATCCCAGCACTCAGGAGCCTGAGGCAGGAGGATTGTTGCCAGTTTGAGACCAGCCTGGGCTCCAAAGTGAGCTCAAGGCCAGCCTGAACTGCATAAAGAGACCCTGTCTCAAATAAATAAATATGTGGTTTAAAAACCATAGGTACTATTTAACTTTCTACGAATGTTTATTTACAAATATAAGCATAACAATGTATATATATTTAATGTATCTATTTTCAAAAAAGAAAATAAATTATCTATAGTCTCAGGGAAATCATAACTGTGAGTTCTGTCCATAACCTTAATACAACATCAATTCTCTTATCCCACGGAGTCTGCAAATAAATACACATACCAAAAGTCAAAAGTTTCCCTAAATACCAGTCGCTTCAAATATAGCGAAACTTAATGACCCGGAGAGAAAAAAGGCCTATAAAGGTTTTCATTAAGAGCAACCTTTTTAGAGCAAAGTGGCTCAGAATGGCGCAGAGGTCTCATCCCAGGGGTGGCCTTGGAGTCCTCCGTTGAGGAGAGGCAGCCACTACGCCGGCCGGAGCCAGGTTTTAGTGAGTAAAACTTTACACGTCTTCAAAATAATAGCTATGAATATCGGTGCACCTACAGGTGACACCACAAGGAAAGAAAAGTTGCCATTTTTGAGGGATTTGACATCCTCGCCACCTGTGACAATCAGTACAATCTCAGCTTCCCAGAGACATGCTGGTGTCATCAGAGGATCCAGGCCAGGCTGTCTAGCTAGGCTGGACCCCAGAATCATGAGAATTTAGGGACCTCCCCCCCCCCCCCCCCCCCGGTCTAGCCCAGCATCTCTAACTAACCAGGAGCCCTTGAACCCAAGAGACCATAATAAGGGCCAAAGACTGGAACGAGATCGTCAGATCCACACTGTGGGGTGTTGCTTATATCTAATATGTTTAAGTCACGAACTCATGGTTACAAGTGATAGAATCACAACTGAAACTACCTTTTGTTAAGCAGGGAATTCATGGAAGCCGTTGACTGGGGGGAGTCAGGAGGGAGCTGGCTGCAGACCTAACTGCTTCCCAAGTCCATGTCATTACTCTCTCAGTCTCTATTTCTGTTGCTTATTTTGTCATAGCAGCAAAAAGAAACCAAGGCACAGCCCCTGCTTCATCCCCAGCCTCTGACTTGTTTTCAGCCAAGCATTCAGCATCAGGGAACTAAGAATGATTCCCACTGTATTCTAGCCCACAACATCCAGAGCATAACACAAGGGTGAAATCTGAAATCACTGAGCCGGGGGTGATGTCTTGGGCAGCACTGATAAAGGCGAACGCTGTCTGAACAAACCTCCTAAGAGGTGGACCGAGAGCCCACGACACTGTGGCATTGTTCCAGGGGTCTGTCACGACCAGGAGTTTGTTTTGTTTTGTTTTTCAGATTCACCAGATGCATGCATGGTGAATCCACAGGAAGCTGGACACAGGGGCTTTGGAGATAACCTCACGTTACATGTGAAGAAACTGAGACCACATTAGCTGAAGCTAACTCAGACAGAGTCCTTTCCTTAAGGGACCAGGATATGGCCTCGTGATGTAGACAGTCAGTCCAGTTGAGCTGGGACGGGGTGCAATCCAGGCAGATGTGTTTTAGGTAATGCCTTCACAAAGGACAACTAGAAAGTTCAGGAACAGTCTATGTGGTCATGATTCAACTCTGTGGGTTAAGAGCCCCTTTAGACAGTGAGCTATGAGATGAAGCTATGAGTTTGATCTTTACACAGGCACTTGGGTTCCTGGGGTCCAAGACGAGAAACTCAAAGCCTACGCTGCAAATGGTCTCAGACGCGAGATGTGTTCACACACAGGGTGAGTGGACGGCTACGTCAAATCGGGATGAGATTAGCTTCATCGTTAGTTCCTGGGGCTTTGCACTCTACGTGTGCCCTGCTTTCTGTCCTGACTTTCTCCACAACCTTGGGCAAGTAAGTCACCAGCCTTCCTGAGCTCTGCGTCCCATCGGAAAACCAGGACACAGTAATACCCTGCCTGATGGACGTTAACAGGGCTGAACTCGGCAGTGAATTTAAAGCCTGGCGTGTTTGCTGGACACGTAGCAAACCTTGAGGAGGACTATCATGACTTCCTCCATGCTGATCTGGGATGATTACATCTGGGATGACATTCTCATGTGAAGAGCAGTGACGTCGAGGCACAGAGAGGGAGGCTTTAGATTCTGAGCAGCTGGGTCCGAAGACTGATGCTCATTCAGTAACTAGATGACCTTGGCCAAGTCACATGACGCCTTTAATGCCTCAGTTTCTGATTCTGCAAAATAGGAGCAGCAGCAGTGGCTGTTAGCTCGGCAGTCAATTTACATAAAGCCTGCAGCTCAGGACTGAGATATCAAAATTACACAGCATTACTCACCTTCACTGTAAACAGGCTCGATTTTACATTTTAAGGTCACCCTGACTTCTCTTAGCTTGCATATTGCGGCTTACGCCTAAAGGTCAAAGGTCAGGAGGTCATAAGGTCAAAGATTTAAGGTTGAGATCATGTGACACTGGTTTGTGACTTACAGGCTTCAGGTCCTAAAGTTTCAGCAACACTTTATCCCCATCCAGTTTCGGTTGCTAGAGTTCGGTGTCTCTGTCCTTGTCACTGACCCCTTTGTGTGCCCTGGGAAGTAGGCTAACGTCACACACTTTTCCATGTAAACATCTCTCAGAAGTAAGACTAAAGAAAGACAGTTACACAGCAATGGTATCAGAACATAAAGCAAGGCTCACAGAAATCTAGACGTTACCTGGGGGAGGTAAGGTCCCTCGACTCAGGTCACTGACATAGTGGCTGTATTGTCCGCCGCCTTCCCCTGTTTATCTCCTCCTTATCCCTCTGGATGAAGCAGAGGCAGTGGTAAGGAAGTGTTTCCTTTCCCGACTTATTTAGATGCCCAGGGGTCTCTCCCCACCTCACACTCCACAGGCCCGAGTCCCTGCCAGGTCCGCAGCTGCCTCCCGAGTTCCTTAAGGAAGCTGAATGGAGAGGGTGTCGCACCTGGGCTGCAGTGGTTTCTACTCTGGATGCAGCCCGAGCTGCCTTCGGGTGAGGCTGTCCTGGCCCAGCTGGAGTTTGCGTGATTGAGTCCTGACTCCCCATCTGGGCTCAGTCTGCAGAGGGACACTGTTGTTCTGACCCCAGCACCTGCTGTTTGCCAGGACAGCAGCCTGGGCAAACAAAGGGATGGGCGGAGAGGCAGGAAGGAGACCGGATCCCCCAGACTGGAGACACGTGCAGAGATGACTTCAGAGGCCCTCGGGGAAGGGGGCGGGGCTGAGGCGCAGGCTCCCCCGGGGCCAACAGGAAACCAGGGAGGAAGTGCGCTCACCGCAGGGCGCACTTGGCTCCACCCGGCTGGTTGTGAAGTGGAGTCTTAGGAAACAGCAGCAGTGACTGAAGAAGGCAGGATGCATACCGCTGGTAAATACTGTGCCTGGTTGCTAAATAGCCTTATCGTTGAGTGTGGAGATTTTTTCTCTTTCTTCTTTCTTTGCTTCCTTAAACCAGCGAGAGCAAAGCCAAGCCAAGCAAACAACACAAACAGGTAGCTACCAGTGACCACGGAATTCGGCTTTGGGGGTAGGATAGCTCTGCGGTTTGCTGGGCACTGGCGCCCCATCTCCGTCCACCAGCCTGGGTCCTCGGCAGGCGGCCTCCCAGTCCACCCGAGCCTCCTGTGCCCAGAGAGCTCAGACACCCAGGGGTGCGGGTTGTGGGGGACACATATCCCCGAGCTCACTTTCCGTGTTGAACATCTTTCCTTCAAACCTCCCTGAGTTAGGGCGGTTCCCACGGAGGACATCAGGGACTTTCCTAAGCGTGGAACCTGGTTGTGAGCATTTGCGGGGACAGGAAGGGATAGGGGTAGAATCCACTTGTGTGGTTTAAAAGGAGAGGAAAAGGCAACTTTCTTGGCTTACAGGTGTCTTCTGTGTTAGGGACCTGGAGAATGGGGGGGGGGGGAGGCAGCTCCTGTGGTGACAGCTTCCTGGAGGAGACTGGGGACCTTCTGCCCAGACAGAGCAGGCTTTGGTCTCTGGTGTGGAGAAGGAGAAGCAGTGGCTTTCTGGGGAGCGATGGCATCCTCTGCCCAAGTCAGCTTTGCAGAATGTTGGAGGCTGATGGATGTGCTAATTACTGAACAGTGTAAGGGGTGATCTAAATCTACAGTGAATGCTTAAGCTTTACAAAAATTTCTTACAGTCACAGGCACAGTGCCCTGAATCCCCCTCACAATCCTTTCCCTTGCTTCAAACACATTTATTCCGTCGTTCTTGCCACTTTTCTGAAGCAGTTCTGGAGTCCTCTATCATGAGTGTTGGGATCACATATAGGGTAAAGGCAGCTGAGCGCCATTCAAGGGGAAGGCAGCCTGTAAAATCATGACACTGTGTCCTCACCCGCTCTTCACCGCATCTGGCACTGTGCGATGTGTGCTCTTCCCCAAAGTCAAAGTCACCACGAAAGGAAAATGCTTTGATCAGTTAAGGACACTGAGGCAGCCATGGCGGTGCAGCCCAGAGTCCAGCTAAGGCTGGAGCTAGAAAGGGAGGGAAGGTGGTGAGCTGGAGAGGGCACTTCTCTGGTGGTCACCGCCTGGCCGACCTGGAGCTGCCATACTGTCTACAGCATCAGGAAGGATGGAGCAGCATCATGAGCACAGCGGAAATCTGAATTCAAAGTTTGAAGCAGGATCTCCACTGAATGCACATAGTTTTACGCCATCTGAAAGTCAAAAACTACAAGTCAAGCCACTAAAAGTCAGAGATACTGTAGTTCGAAAGAGGAAGAGAAACCAGATTTAAGTGCTGTACACTGAAGGCGTGTGTGGTGGTGGCACACACCTGCAATCCTGGCACTCGGGAGGCAGAATCAGGAGGGCCATCCCAAGTTCAAGACCAGCCTGGGCTACAGAGTGAGTTCAGGCCATCCTGAAGTGCATAGTGAGACTCTGTCTCAAAGAATCAAAACATAACAAATGCTATGTACTTTGAAGTTAACCAAAAGAACTAGAACTCTGTTTTACAAGGTCTTCTAGGCTGGGTAGTTCCCAAATCAGAATCATGCTGGGACTGGGGGGATTTGGAAAACCAAAACTGGATCCTGGCCCTGAAGCAGCAGAAGTGGGAATAGGACCAGGGTTTCTGAGATTTACAGTCTCCAGTGCAAGGCAGACTCTTCATGTAGAAGGTGTGAGCTACAGGCTGGGTGCAATTCGTGTGCCTTAGGGTTAGTGTTGGACCTCAGACAGGCACTGGAGTCAGTGTCAAGCAGGTGACTGGTCCCGGTGAGCTGGCCTTCGTTTCTGAGATGACCAAATCAATATTAACAAAAACTGCACACAGGAAGGGTATAGAGGAGGATGAGGGAAGTGGGCAGCTCCCAGCATGGGCCTGCCACCTGCGCAGGATTATCATTTACTTTCAATAGGATGAGATGCAATGAAGCGTCTTCCTAAACTATTTTTTTCCTTTTCTTGGTTGGCCAGAAGTTATAGACCTATAACACACTAAGTGACACTATCCTCACAAAGACTTGAGCAAGTGTGGTTATGGCATTTGGGTATAATTTCGTTCCCATAAATGAAGGTATTTATGAGCAAGAGATCCGACATTCATTCTTCAGGGACTGATAGTCCTCGTACAAAGGCAGAAGGCTTAGACAGATGCTTGCTGGGTTTGTCACAGCAGCCAGGCTGAGAGCGCTGTGGTTTGGAAAAGGCAGAACCCATGTACTGGATGGAGCATGAAGGTGCGTTCCCAGCATGGTGAGAGATGTTGCTTTCCCAAAAGTCCGAACTGAAAACAGTGAATGTAGTTTTGGTAATTGTGATCATGCAGGGAGGAGGGCTAATGAGGTCCCAATGCAAACAGGAGAGAGTGGACTGAGTGGACTGTCCCCGCTGGCCAAATTTGACACCACAATGGGGATTAGGACAGGGGAATTTCTGTTTAACAGAAGTGTGTGCTTGTTCATTCATTTACTAATGTGCTGCCTCCTTTTCACATTACCTACAAAAGTCTGCAAATACATGTGGAAGGACCCATCCTCTGGGCTAGTGTGATGGAAGGAATCTGGGCACTTGGTGCAGACCTGTAATCCTAGCACTCCAGGAGGCTGAGGCAGGAGGACCACAAGTTCCAGCCCAGCCCACACAGTTTAATGCCATGCAGTGGCAGCTCCCAGTGAGGACAGGGTGTTTTAGGACCAGGTTTGTGTAAGTGATGCTGCCACCTCCCCTTCTGCAGGCTCAGCTACCATCTCTGTCCATCTCTGTACAGCACAAGCCTTCGAAGAGGGTGTTGCAGGGAAACCCAGGGTCCTCGCTCCTCTTCAAACCCAGACTGAGGCTGGCAGGCTGGCAACCAGCTCACCGCCTTCTGGGACACAGGGACCTCTGCCCCTGCCTGCTGGGTTGAGTCGCATGCTTCCCAAGAGTTGGGGCTGTTTGTCCCGGCCTGCATTAGATATCTCAGAAACCATCAAAACATGATTGCAGAGAGCAAGCTGCATCCTTGCAAACTGAGTGGGATGCTATTGATGTGAATGAGAATGGTGATGGGGGTGGTTCTCAGGGCTGACGAAGCAACTACTGTCACATTAGGTTCCAACGTGTGGACAGGGGAGACACCAGCATTCAGGAAGTTTTTATGTTCATGTCCTGTACCCTGAGCAATACTTTAAAGATAACAGCATGTAATTCATTAGCTATTGTTATTCTCCTATTATTTTGTTATGAAATTTTGTTTTACCTTTTGTCCAGAAAATAAAATTTAAAAAAAGAATTTGGGGGCTTCTCTCTGTCTCGCAGACTGGGTTCCCTGCTTTCCTGATACTGTTTTTCTTCCCTTTATCTTCTGTCCTTTTTGTCCTGGGGATTGAACTCAGGGCTTCTTCATGTTCTGTTTTGAGATACAGTCTTGCTAAGTCTGCCTAGCTGCTCAGGCTTCTCTTAGACTCAGTCCTCCTGCCTCAGCCTCCTGGAATATTGGGATTACAGGTTGTATTACCATGCCTGGCTTCCCATCACTCTTTCAAACCCATTCAGGTATTTGTTCATGGATTTATTTACTTATTTATTTATTGGAGACAAGGTGTCACTGTGTAGACCAGGCTGACCTTGAACTCACTACATACCCCAGGCTGGCCTCAAACTCCCAGAGATCCTCCTGCCTCAGCCTCCTGAGTGCTGAGCTACAGGCATGCATCACCACACCTGGTTGGTATTTGCTCATGAATTTAAAGTGGCTCACAGTATTTTTTCAAGCCTCTCCCTTTCTTCTTCCCTCCTCCCATTATTTTCTGTGACACAGGGAAAGAGGCCTATCCTCGCATGCATCATGCCCTGGTTACCCTGGAGCTATAAGAAGAAGTCTCAGCTTTGGGCTTGTTTCCTATGGTGATACGTGGAATCTGTACTCTCCATGGGAACAGCCAGGGGCTCCCCTAGTGCAGGTCTCCCAAGCACAGGTGAAGAACACAAGGCAGGACCTGCAGTGCCCGGGTGACAACCACACTGGCAGGAACTGGACTCAGGTCCGACAACAGCCACAGAGCATCTGCCGGGGCAGCACCCTTCCTGCGTGAGACACCATGTGAGGTCTGGCACCCTGGTATTGGGCCGTCTGCCCGGTAAAGGCAGTGGCCCATGAGAGGCTCCCTGTAGGCACCACCCAGTCCCCGTTAGGGCAGGTGCTAGTGGCTGTGGTACTGGAACCCCAGCTTTGCTCGGGGATCTCAAAACAGTGGCCACTGCAAGAAGTCGTATGGTGCACTTTGCAGACGAGCTCGGGTCTTGGCATTCGCTGCTCTCCACAGCACTCCTCCCCTGCCTCCTCTGCCCATGCAAAGGGGCTCTCCCTGCCCCAGTCCCTGTCCCTGGGGCCCCAGTGCAGCCCAGAAAACCTCTGCCTCACTCTGCACCCGGCCGCATGCCACCTCCTCCAGAAAGGCTCACTTCACCCTAACCTAAGGCCCTGTCCTTTCCTGACACCCCCCAGAGCCCTTTGTCCCCCTTCTGACTCCTTTCCACATTGCATGACAGGTGATTGTCCCTCACACCCTTCCTTCATCAGCCCGTGCATCCCCTTGAGGACAGCAACAGTTAGATGCATGTGGCCAAGTCCTGTCCGGAGACTCTGCAGATCAGTCTCTCTGGAAAGCTGCCTGCCACCCCTTTGCCTTTGCTTCCCAGACACGGAAGGA